AATTCTACTCTACAAAATAGCTATCTTAGATTTTTTTTTTACATTTTATTTAAAATTTAAAAATAATTAATATTTTTAATAAAATGTAAAAAAATTAATTATTGAGATATAGCTATAGACCTAACGTGTAACTATTATTTAAAAAAAAAATTAGCTAAAAATATTATCTGGATCAAAAGTTATTTAAGTTGTCAGTGAGTGGTGGGCCACCCTGTATATAAATATATAATTTAATTAGTTTATAAAATTGGAAATGATCTAATAAATAAAATTGATGACCGATAACAACTTATGGACTCCGAAATTTAATAACATTTTTGTACCTAGATGGAAGAAGGATTGCGGTCGAAATGTTTTATAGCGTCTAGGTACCGTTATTTAGTAAAAAACAACCCGTTTTTGTTCCATTAGTACGACAAAACTACTGATGCAATAAAAATTCTGAAAACAAATCTGAATTCATTATCATATCACTTGGGTATCAGTCAGGCCATATTTTTGAAATTGTGATTCTTACGACGCAAAAATTTTGAATCATTTTAATATTTTCAAAATAAATTTACGAAACAAATTTTGTTGTTGTATTCCTATAAGTGTCGCTAAATAAATGGGGAATCATAAAAAAATATCGCTATCAATAGAGGTAATATATTAACATTATATAAGTGGAGTCAAAAAAATAATCTGGTGAGGTACTTATTTATAAAAATAATTTTCATACACTTTTATAGCTTCGATAGAAAACTGAGAAGGTATTAGTTTTACTATGATGTGATTTTTACTTGTGTCTATCCATATCTGTACTTACGGGACTGTTCGACGATACGCCAAAAGATCAAAAAATATATTTTGTTGATGTGTTCAGCATTATTTTTTAATAATTTCCCTTTAAATCTGACACAATAACGTGTTTTTCTCAGTCGCACACTATGTTATCAACCTAGATCTAATACTAAGTAACTTATGTTATGAGCTTTTTATTTCAACACATTTAAAATGTACACATACATAAATTGCTTGATCATCAAATATATAAATCTCTTACATTAATTATAAAATGAATTTTAAACTACACCCAATAAAAAAAGGTAAATCATTTTTTAAAAAAGCTGTTCAGAATTGAGTAATGATAAGATATAATCTACATTTAATACGACGTGCTTAGAATTCATGAAGTATAAGTGACATAAAAAAAAAAAATGATTTAGGTGCACAATCAGACTGAAAATGAATAGTTCTTATTAGTAAAAAAAAATTGGTAAATAAAAAACACATTATTGTAAAATCAAGATACCACTTTAATTACACATGAAAATAAATACAGTATATATTATTTTGATAGAATGTTACCAATTCTCAAACTAACATTTTACTTGACTTACCTCAAATAAGTAACGAGGAGAATTTAATAAATGAGTGAATAATTTTTTTACGAAGAAAAATTATTAAAGGGCAAGGTTAAAATATAAACAAACATTATTTTTTTTAGAAAAATTGGAGATGATAGTATTTATGATTTGTTATCAGGGCACAAACTCTTGATAGTTGTAAAAAATGTTCTCAGAAGTTAATCAACTAATAATTAAAAAAAAGTAGTTTATTTTTTATAATATTATTTTACAATGAAATTAATATACATATTTGACTATTTTAGGTATAATTTACTAGGTTGAAATCAGTTAAACACGAGTTATTTGCTTGTAATTTTTCGAATCTTGTATTTAAAACTGAAGTTCAAAAGGTTTTTTTTTTAAATTTCACTTTGAATGTAATTTTTGCAAAAAAAAAAAAGAAATTATTTATTCAGAGGATTCTAAATTAAATGATTCTCTTAGTATAAATACTGCAGTTGTTACTGTTACATTGAATACTGGTTTTCTGCTGTACTAAATATACCTTGTATGAGTAATACAATTTATCAAAAATATCATGAATATATTGCTAAGCAAACTGAAAATACTGCATGGGATTCGATAGAGTTAACGGGGAAAGAAAAAGCTAGGCTTGCGATTGAAAATGGAGAAGTGAACGATAAAGGGATTCCTATGATTACTGTTGTAGTAGATGAAGCGTGGTCAAAACATTGTTACAAGCACAATTACATGCACTTTCAGGGGTTGTAAGTATTTTTATGCATAGTGGGGATTATTACAAACGATATTTTGAGAGATATTCATAAAACAGAAAGGAAAAGAATTAATAATTAAAAACGCAGTTATTGTTCATTTTTAAGGCTTGTATTGTGGGTTAACGGACAAAAAAAGTTTTGTTTATTGGTGTTCGAAACAAATATTGTATTATTTGTCAAAAAGCTGCTTCTAATAATACAGTTTTGCCGGAGCATTTATGTTATAAAAATTGGAGTGGTACTAGTACAGCTATAGAATCTGACATAATTATTGAAAGATTTAGACAAAGTATATATTAATGCATAACCTAATATACCATAAGCTAGTTTGGTCTTTGGTCGGATATAATGACAGCAAAAAATCTTGTAGTGCACCTTAGTGATAGTTTGATATACTTAGTAAATAATAATTTTGTTAAAAATTACAATAGCATTCTAGCTAAGTATACGGGTGGTAAACGAATCAATTATTCATTAAAAGGTATATGGAAATGTATTTTATACAATAGTATTTTTATCACCAATTTTTTTTCTTTGTATTTTGTATAAGGATAATATAAAGTCCGTCGTGATACAGCAGTAACCGCATACAACAATGGACCAAGTTACATCAGCTTTTTACATAAAAAAGCCACAAAATTCAGACCAGGATTATATACAAAAAAAATTATCAATAAAGCTACAAATGAACGAAATAAACATACTAGAAGAATCATACTTGTCGATATGCCTATTTCTAAGTTTTAAGATAAAAAAAATGAATTTTTAACAAAAATTCAACTCATTAATTAGCAAATAGATCAATTAGAAAATAGTACAATAAGCCAATCAAATTGTGATGAAAGGTGTAGATAACGAAAATTTCGATTAAGAGCTTCAAATTTCGGTAAAGTTGTCAAACTTCGAGCTACTACATCGTAAGCAAATAATATGAAGTATATTATATACGACTTTTCCAAGGCAATGCTGCTACTAGGTTAATTTACTTTTTGAACAATTTTATATTTATTTTTTGTTTTGAGAATTATGATTTTTAAATTGCTAAGGTATGGTATTCAATGTGAACCATTGGCAAAAGAAGTTTTACAACACAGGCTTGGTGTGAATATTAAAGCTTGTGGTTTATTTGTTCATAAAACTTTGCAATTCTTAGCAGCTAGCCCTGATGGTTTAATTTATGACGACTCAATTGTTGAATTCAAATGTCCAGCTTCAATAAAAGATTTCACACTAAAAGAAGCTTCGAAAAAAAAAAATTGAATTTTATGACCTTTGACGACAGTAAATTTAAATTTAAAAAATCACATGATAATTATTATCAAGTACAGTCGCAGTTACATATAATAATACGGCAATATTGTTACTTTGCTGTATGGACTCCTAAAGGTATTTATGTAAATTTAAAATAAAGTAAAAATCAATATATAAAAAGCAGTTACTTAAATGTACGACCTCAAACATTTATAAATATAATGTATTTTTAGGTATGGCAATTGATAAAATTGAAAAAAACAATGAAGTGTGGAATAAAACATGGCAACTTTTAGAAAAGTTCTATATGGATTATCTGTTACCATAGATAATTGACTCTCGTTTTGACAAAGGACTTCCCATAAGAACATGCTTATAAAACTTAAATATTATACTGTGTAAATAATGTAATTTTGTAAATTGAATTCTTATAATTCAAATTAGTTTTTTTATAATTTTATAACTTCAAAATAATCGATGTGGGCCTCATATGATTTATCTTGTTTTCTGTAAATATTTAGTTTTTCTTACTCATTGAAAATAAATAATTTAATTATTTTTATAATCAATTAGAATTTGTGAGATCATAATGCGTCTATAAGGTGTTAAACTATGGTTTTTATACTACAAATAAACGTGCATCGTTATCATAATAACCCACTGTACAATTAATGTTTCAGTACGTCGGGGGAACATTTTTTTAGTGTTTCATACGTAACATCACTTTGAAACATCAATAAGCTGTTATATGGTTGTTTTTTTAGGTTAATACAAATTAAGTACAAAGGAAATGTCCATGTGATATCATTTTGACTTAGTACAAATTTGGTACGAATGTAACATACATACTACGTTCCTCCGAAATATTACACTATGTATTAATAGCAATCGTTTATCATAATTATGATAAACGATTGTTTGGAAATTTAATTTTAGAAATATATTAAAAAACAAAATATTTTGTCATAGACACTGTAATTGCCTATTAATACCTGGAAAATCCAAAAACCCATGTGACGTATGTCTTTATCTTTTATATTAAGGGATCGGCCACAAACGACCAACAACTCTGCAGTAGACGCGATGTTATGTTATGTACAATCTTACAATTGTTTATGTTAGACAGTATACTTGTTTAATTATTATTAAGTGTGTTTAATTACAATTATTATTTTTTCTTATATTTTTTAATAATGGCTGAACAAACAAAAAAGGTAAGTTATACAATCTACTTATTTACACTTGTTATAATACCGCATCCACACTTAATAACATTGTTATATAAGTACATTCAGTGGTGTAAAATTTCAAGGATTGCAACTTATTAATCAATTTAGAAAGTGGTCAGTGTTTTTTAAATAACTCATACAAATACCAACTTTAAATTTTATGATGTGACATAAATGAAGTCTTAAAAATTTATTTAATACAATTTATAAACGTATTTAAAGAAACATTTAATGTTTTTTTAAATTTATTTTGTCAATAATATTAACAATTGGTGTCTGATGTACACTTAAGATATTAAATTAACGAATTATAAAATATTTATATAGGTTTCCCTTAAATGGCTTATTGTGCTGTTCCCTGAGCACAATGAATATAGTGTTGTACCAACGNGTTCCCTTAAATGGCTTACTGTGCTGTTCCCTGAGCACAATGAATATAGTGTTGTACCAACGAATTGGGTAACAAAAAATGAATTAACTCAAGTAAATTATTGCTACTGGCCTCCAGGCACTGTTAACAGTGATGTTATACAAAAAGCAGATGAGCCGGGGTTAACCTGGAAAATGTATAGAGTAAAAATTTATGGTGGAAATAAAACTTTTGGTAAGAATTAATACATATTTATATAATGTCTAGTGATTATTTTTAGCTCATCTATATACCAACTATTTTTTTTTAAATATAACTAATATATAACTATTTTACAGATAATTTTAATAAAGCATGGCATCAACAAGTTATTATTGAAGATTCATCTAATGAAACAGGCAATGAAGAAAATATGACTCTAAGACATAAACAAAAAGGAAAGCTTATCTCACAAAATGTATTGTTTAATGTAACTGATGAAAGTGACAATGACAATGGTAATTTTTTAAATTAACATAACTTTAACAATACTGTCAAACCAAAAATATAATGTGTATTGTATTTTTTAAGTACATATTTTATGAATAATTTTATTATATTGCTATAAACCATATAATTATTAGTATTGTATAATAATATAATTTTTAATTCAATTAATTAATTTGTTTAGATAACAGTTATAATATAATGGCTCAGTCATCATCTGCCACGTTGAATATTGTCAAACCTTTGTTTGTAAAATCAAATAGTAATGCTCTAATAGTTTCAAGTTTAGAAACTGATAATAGAATGTCTTATTTACTTAACCAATCAACATCTTCAGCCACTGATACATCAGTTGAACCTATAGCATCTTGTAGTTCATTAACTGAAAAAGACAACTATCAACAACTCTCTGAGTTAATGCCTCCAGAACCCAAACATATTTGTTCTACAACGGACTTCTCATTACAGGTATATTAAATGGAAAAAATTAATTACTGTAAGGTAAAAATTTAAAGTTTTATGTGTCAATCTAAAAAAAGAATAATTTTAGAATTTTGATTATACTTTTATATTCATATTTTAATTAACAGTCATCAAATACAATGAACACTTTAAATCAGTCTGTTCTCCAACAAAAAAACTATGGTAATATTTATTTAATATTACATATTATATATATATATAGAATATAATAGGTATGCAATTATTTTCTTTAAATAAATCCATAGAAATTAGTTAAATTTTTCTATTGATTTACATACAGTTTATGGAGAGGGCTTACCTATCTAGTGGTGCTTTTATAAAAATACAATTTGGTTAGGCATGAATACATTGGGGTTATTAAAAAATAATGCTTAGAATTATTTGTGATTGTAAAAATAGCAAACCACCTTGTTTGTAAAATACATTTTTCATTTTAGCTTAAATTTTTTTGTGTATACTTCTACAGATCCAACAATGAACATGATGTTAAATAGAATATTATTAAAAGTAGAAAACATTGAAAAAATTTTGTCTAAACATAAAAATGAAAATAAAAATGCTCTGTTAGACAATTCATTTTTATCAAAATTCCCCATTGATAATGTTGAAGGATTTTTATTGATTGAAACTTGCATTAGTAATGAAATTGATTTTGTTTCAAAATTGGTAATTAGAACTTTGGTTAAATATGAGTAAAGAAGATTTAATGACTAAATCTAGTCAACATTTTCACAAAAATATAATAAATATTTCATAGTTTTATCAAATTAAATGAAATTTGAGTTTTTGTTGTAGGAATATTTTATTAGATCAATTTGAGGAAGGAATGGCAAAGAACATATAAGAAGGTCTTTGACCAAACTTTTTACTAATTCATATGCTGGTAAATGTACGTGGACTGGTCGTGGAAAAAATATAATTACCAAAGTAGGAGATTCTGAATTAATCAGAATACTTACAAGTAATTTTACAATTTATTATACAGCGAGGAATAGATCTAACTGACAACTCTTATAACTTCAATTAACATATGGCTATAATTTTGTTTTTTAATAATTATTTGATATGATTTTAACATAGTTTATGAATGCATAAATTATTTAAAAAAATATATATAGCTAAAACGTTAACTATGTCAAAAGTTATAAGAGTTGTCAGTTAGATTTGTTCCACTGTGTATAGTCTTGCGAATGTTTATTTTGTTTTACTTCTTTCTTGTAGAAGTTATTAAAGATAATGCCAAAAAGCCCATGACAAACTCTGATGTAGAAATAGAAATTGCCGAATGGCTTAGGCGTGCTAACACAAGAGTACAAAGGGACAAATTAAACGAGTGACAATATAATTTTTTATATGTGTTTATGTTTTTTTTTTATATACATTTATAATTACAGTTTTAAAATAATATTTATAAAAAGTTTTTATTTATATTTAAGAAAGTACCATTTTTATTTCTTTATATAGATTGATACATTATCTATAATATATAATAAATAAATAATTAAAGTTTTTTATCCAGCTTTATTTATTTTAGAAAATTAGTAGAAAAAAAAATGTTTAGGAGAAGTTACAACTAGATACTTGAGACAAATGTTAAAATTGGAAAAACATAAATTCATAACATCTTCAAACAAATCAAATAACTCTAATATGCCTACACATCCAATATTAGAATTTGGTATGAATTCAAATTTAGATGTTAATTATAGTTCTATATCACAGTCTCTTAATGTAATAGAAAATTCTTTAGTTACATCAGTACCTGATAATGAATCGTGTTCTGGAAATTTTAGTGATACAGATGATATTTATTTTTCAAATGTTAATGTGGATTCTGAAGATAATTCTTTAATAAAGGATGTATCATTTAGTATTGAAGATGAATTAAGGTCTTGGGTATTGAAATTTAAAGTATCTCATAATAGTGCAAATTGTATACTTAGAATAATTAATTCTGCTGGTATTAATGTACCTAAAGATATTCGAACTCTAATGAAAACTCCTAAAACGCACATAATTTCAAATATAGGTCATGGGTCTTATATTCATTTAGGCTTAGAAAACATGATATCTCCTTTATTAAAAAAATACAATAATTTAATCTATACCCCAAATATTGTTTTAAAGATTGGTATTAATTTGGATGGTCTACCATTATCAAGAAGTTCGAAGAGTCAACTTTGGCCAATCTTAATTGCATTTACAAATTGTAACTTATTATCAGAATATGTACTTCCAATTGGAATATTCCATGGAAATACCAAACCAAAGTCAATTCATGAATTTTTAAATCCATTTATTACAGATCTTTCAATATTATTAAATAATGGCTTAACTATCGGTGGAAATTTGTATCAGTTTGGTGTTGGTCATGTAATTTGTGATTCTCCAGCTAAAAGCTTTGTACTTAATGTGAAATCATTTAATGCTTATTTTGGATGTACCTCATGTACTCAGGAAGGTTCGTTCATAAATAATAGAATGTCATTTTTAGAAATAGAATCGCCTCTTAGTACCGATGAATCATTTCGTTCTAAAACACAGGAAGAATATCATAAAGGTAGTAGCCCTCTTGAATTATTACCTATAAATATAATTAACGACGTGTGTCTTGATTATATACATAATGTTTGCCTGGGTGTAACAAAACGTGTGTTAGAGTTTTGGGTTAAAGGTAAGAAGGACGTTAGATTAGCTGAGGGAAATAAAGTTAAAATATCTAATAATTTGATGAATCTACGATTGTACGTACCATCTGAATTTAGTCGTCTGCCTAGAGAATTAGATAGTATAGAATACTATAAAGCTACTGAATTAAGAATGTTTGTTCTACACTCAGGATTAATAGTTTTAAAAGGAAATTTAAATAAATTAAAGTATTCTCATTTTAAACTCTTGGTATGTGCAGTAAGAATTTTGATATCTCCTGANTTTAAACTCTTGGTATGTGCAGTAAGAATTTTGATATCACCTGATATATGTCAAACTTCAAATGATTTAGCTCAAAACTTACTGAATGAATTTGTTTCTCAGTACTCTTCTTTGTATGGGGCTCATTCTGTGACTTATAATGTTCATAGTTTATTATATCTTCCTATGCATGTTAAAATTCATGGCTGTCTTGATAATTTTAGTTGCTTTAAATTTGAAAATTATTTACAATACATAAAAAAATCAATAAAAAGTGCCAAATATCCTCTTTCAGAAGTAACTAATAGAGTTATTGAAAAACAAAAACATTTAATATCCAGTAGTATAATTCTTGATCCTATTGTCACTTTTAAAGAGATTATTAACACATCTACTCCTTACTTTAGTTTAGATGATAAATTATATGAAAAAATAATTTTAAAAGATCTAAAAGTAATTATTAATACATGCAATGAACGTGATAAATATATAATATTAAAAAATAGTGACATTGTTATGGTTAACCACATTGTTAAACCAAAAAATGAATCATATTTTATATTAATTGTTCAAAAATTTTTAAATCCATCTCCAATTTTTACTGAGCCTATTGTATCTACCATATTTGGCTTATATACTATAAATACTAATAATTTGTCAATTCATATTTCTGATATAAAATACAAATGTTTTTTTATTCATATATCTAATGAACAAGCAGTTATATCAACTTTAAATCATTCACTTTCAGAAATACCTTATTAAATTAACTTATTAACACAAGCTTTGGTATAAATTATTAATTATTCAAAATGCATTCATTTTTGTATATATTTTTTTTAAAGTTCATTATATATTTATTATTACTAATTAAGTAGGTATATAATTTTTATATTTTATAAATATGTGTACTATTTATTAGATTTAATAGTCTACTATAATGTTTCATATAATTTCAATATATTGTGATACTATTTTAATAATTTGTATAATATTGACATACATACATGGTTTAATATAGTTATATTTATTTTCGACGTTTATTGCTGGTATATTTTATTTTGTTTTTAACTTATATTATTTTTATAGTTCTTTAACTTATTCAATTATATAATATGTTTCAAGTGATGTTGTTTTTGTGTGGTGGTTATATATTTAGTCTTAGTTATTATTTATATATTAATAACACCTATTGTTTCAATAAACATAATTAATACAAATTAAGGATGTATTTAATGTACCAAAAAAGATAAAAAAAAGTTCTAACTACTAAAGCCTGAATAAAATATCCCATTAATGTTATTTTTGTTTTTTAATATACATAATAGTTATAACATTTTATTAAAAGATTTAAGAATTGTTTACTGTAAGTACATCTAGCATATTACGACGACATTATCTTTAAATGTTCCGGTAATATCCCAATCAAACATACACACAATGTTTCTAGGGTATGTGTATACAATATTTGAAGGAAATATACTAGTAATGCTTATAAATAACAAACCTTAAATATTTTATAAGTGTTGAAAAAAAACGGTTATTAACAAGCTCAGGGACATCGCCTTTATATCATAGTAATAATGTATGGGATGTTACACGTTCCCATGAAACGTTTTAAGAACATCAATGGTATGTAACATTGTACAGTGGGAATCGTATTGCTAAAGTAAGGCAGGTATACAACCGGTTGTGTTATCAATTATAACACGACGCAAATACTACCAATAATGGACAATCACACTACTAATTATTTACTTCTCACACAACGACACTGCGTAACATGTAAAAATCGCCAAATTGCCTNGCAACCAATAATGGACAATCACACTACTAATTATTTACTTCTCACACAACGACACTGCGTAACATGTAAAAATCGCCAAATTGCCTATATTCGACCCCTGAAAAAAGGTCTGTACCCAAATGCCTTATGATAAGATTGTNCTATATTCGACCCCTGAAAAAAGGTCTGTACCCAAATGCCTTATGATAAGATTGTCATACCATCGGGTATGATAATATTATTCAAAACGGTATGTTTAAAAAAAATAAAGTTGACATTCCTATAATGTATAGAGATGAATTATAAAAGTAAGTTGAATCAGTTAATCAAAAATATTTCAAGAATTGGGCTTCATGTTGGCTGTTTTTTGTTACAATATAACCCACAAAAACTGTAAAAATTAAAAAGAAAGATAAAGTGAGTGGGATTATGGACTGAGCTTAGAATATTTGGGTTTTACAGAATTGGTTACCATCGAGATGCTATCGGGTTTGTAGAGTCCAACGATTCAGAACAGTAATGACAAGTAGATAGAAATAGAAAACAATTAACAGTTCTCTTTGTTGAGATGTAAAGATAGCTTAATTGAAATGCTCCTTTAACAGTAAAATATGATATTGTGTAAATTGACGGTAGCTTCCTCTCTGATACCCATTCGAAGTATCTATTAATAAGGTACGAACTAGTGAATGATGATTGATTAAAGTTTGAAGGTTGTTATGAATATATTTGATCTATTGCTTTATCGTTCTTTACCAGAAAATTAATTCGGAGATTGGTATAATGTATATTTACTGTAAATTCAAATGCCATTTACTATTAAATTAAAAACTGTTAAATAAAATGTTTATTTTATTAAATTAAATATATGTTTCCATTTAATAAAGCAAAGTTGACACCCTTACAAGGCAAAAGGGATGAACTTAAAAAGTATTACATAGTTAATAATTCAAGAATAATGTGTAACAAAAGATAACAAAAAAAAGTATATTACATAAGCTTCAATTTAAGATATATATAAAAGTGTCAGACCTTCCGAAACACTTTCAAAAGTTAAGTTGAAAAAGTTCTACTTTCTATATGCATTTTTTATATTTGAAGCCCCCCCATATATAGGGAAATAGTCTGATTTAAAAAAAAAGTATATCCAATGAAAGATGTATATAAATACTACTTCTCATGAAAAAATTGTATTGATCCATACATTTTTTAAAAAGTTATAGCACTTTAAAGTAAAAAA